TTTATTGTATTAATACAAAAATATATCAAATGAAAAATTTACAATAGACTATAGTGATTTTCTCTAAAGATAATTGATCGCTAGGAAAATTATATATTGCATTTTGAACAGAATTTTTTTTCTATTGAAGATCTATTTGTACGCGTTACTTTTCATTTTCATATATCGATTTTACGTAATTTAACATTATTATTAATCTAATTATTGATATAACTGGCAAATAAACCTGTTATATATACTCATTGCATCTTCTGTAATTTTTTATATAGTATTATAAATATTGATAAGCTCAAAAACACTCATATGGGTTATTTCCCAAAAAATTATATTTGAACAAAAATAAAAAGACTACATCATATAGGACATTCATTAATATTTTTCAACCATTCGCATTTCAAAGAAAGCTTTAGAATACTCGAAATTGAATGAAGTCTGGTGCTTGTCGCCCTCGATTACTATGAAAACGCACTCCATGACTTGTACTACTTCCTTTGTTGCTATGGAGTTGTTCATAAGCATACTACCAATAACGAAATGCTTGCGAATAGTATTTTTGAATGGATCTTTTCATGTATAGTGAACCGGAAAAAAATCTTCTGTGATCCTTGTGTTTTACGCAGTCGATTACGCATGGAAGCATTCGTTTAAAATACAATCTGAAAACATTTTTTTTGTTGGTATATAGGTCTCGAGCTGGGATCGACTAGGTTTTCTTACGTCTCATCTGCGAGATTTCAAGATGTTATCATAAACTATCTGTTGAGCTTTTACCCTCTTCCATTTCGAAAACCATATATATGAGTTTCACAAAAAAAAAAACATATTTTATTTTCTAGAAATGAGATTAATGCCAGGTGATGAATTACGTTTAAGATATGTTGGCGATCCAATGAAATCAAATTGGGCTGGTGTTGGACATGTGGTTAAAGTACCAAACAGTAAAAATTTGAACCAAAAAAACAACAAAAACTATTTATTAATATTATAAAATATTTCTTTAGATTATGGAGAAGAAGTTGGAATTGAATTAAAAATAAATCAAGGTGCACCTATTGAATATAGTTCAAATTTTGTTGTAGAATTTGTTTGGAAATCAACTTCATTTGATCGGTAAAATTTCTTTTCTTTTTTTTTTCAATTGATAAAAAAGTTTTTTTTTTCAAATTAGAATGCAAGCTGCATTAAAAACATTTGCTGTCGATGAAAGTAGTGTTTCAGCTTATTTATATCATCGTTTATTAGGTCATGAAGTTGAAGATTTAGTTATGAAAGTAACATTACCAAAACGTTTTTCTGCACCAGGTTTACCTGAATTAAATCATTCACAAGTTTATGCAGTAAAAACTGTTCTTCAACGTCCATTAAGTTTAATTCAAGGTCCACCTGGTACAGGAAAAACTGTAACATCAGCAACTATTGTTTATCATCTTGTTAAACAAAATCAAGGACAAGTACTTGTATGTGCACCAAGTAATATTGCAGTTGATCAATTAACAGAAAAAATACATAAAACAGGCTTAAAAGTTGTTCGTCTATGTGCAAAAAGTCGTGAAGCATTAGATTCACCTGTTTCATTTTTAGCATTACATAATCAAGTACGAAATCTTGAAAGGTAAATTTATCTTGTGACACAAAAAACAAATTGATTTTTTTTAATATTAAATTTTAGTGAACCAGAATTAAAAAAATTACAACAATTAAAAGATGAAACAGGTGAATTATCATCAGCTGATGAAAAACGTTATCGAGCATTAAAACGTAAATGTGAAAGTGATTTACTTCGTAATGCTGATGTTATTTGTTGTACATGTGTTGGATCTGGTGATCCACGTTTATCACATGGTTATCAATTTCGTTCAATACTTATTGATGAATCAACACAAGCAACTGAACCAGAATGTATGGTACCAGTTGTACTTGGTGCTCGACAACTTATTTTAGTTGGTGATCATTGTCAATTAGGACCTGTTGTTATGAGTAAAAAAGCAGCTAAAGCTGGTCTTAGTCAATCATTATTTGAACGTCTTGTTGTACTTGGTATTCGTCCAATTCGATTACAAGTACAATATCGAATGCATCCAGCATTATCAGCATTTCCATCAAATATTTTTTATGAAGGTTTGTACTTGTTTTTTGTTATTAAAAGTATATAATCGATTCTATCCCACACTTGAACATAAAAATCAATGTTAGGAGTTATTCATTAGATCTGACTGAAATATTAAATATGTTTTTGAAGAATAAATCTTATTGTTTAAATGAATCTCTAAGAAAGAAGTTTGCCATGACGTCTCCTATATTGTCAATTTTATGAATATGTGATCGGAGAAGTTGTTCTCAGTGTAAATATTACTTCTGAAATAAAAGCGTGACCACTTAAATTTTTTCTTCTGGAGTAGCAATCTCTCGGTCCTTATGCGGAATATATCTTAGACGTAATTGAGAAATCTTGTCTTAAGATTTATATAAGTCTCTTTAGGAATTCATAATAGCTATTACTCAGTGCTTCGAATTCCAAAGAACAAGGATTATGCAGTGTTGATATAAACACTAACCGCAGATTATTGACGCATTGTCCACTATGACACTGACATGCACGTTCTCTGCAACATTAATATATTAACTGTACCTTTCTTGTAGCGGTATGTTCCAAGTCTTCAATGAACATTAGTATCAGTGCGCATTAACTATAATGAGTCAATGGGCAGTAAACTGAAACTACATTTTCATATAAAGAACATTTACTTCTACTTATTTGAGAAAAAAAAACAATGCAAGTTTTTCATATCCCATTTTACTTTCGTTGATATTCTTTTAGATTATAAAATTTACATTATTTAAATGAATTAATTATATCTGTTTTATCAAATATATGACCGATCTTTTTCTTTATTGTCTTAGGTTCACTTCAAAATGGTGTTACATCTGTTGAACGTACAATAAAAGGCTTAGATTTTCCATGGATTCAAGCAGATAAACCAATGTTTTTTCATTGTTCATTAGGACAAGAAGAAATTTCTAGTAGTGGTACATCATATCTTAATCGAACAGAAGCAAGTATGGTTGAAAAAACTGCAACACGTTTACTTAAAGCTGGTATAAAACCTGAACAAATTGGTATAATAACACCATATGAAGGACAACGTGCTTTTATTGTTCAACATATGCAATATAGTGGTTCATTAAGTGAAAAACTTTATCAAGAAATTGAAGTTGCTAGTGTTGATGCATTTCAAGGACGTGAAAAAGATTTTATTACATTATCATGTGTACGTGCTAATGAACATCAAGGTATTGGATTTTTAAATGATCCACGTCGACTTAATGTTGCTTTAACACGAGCAAAGTAAATTTTTTATTGTTTTTGTTTTTTTTAAAATTTATATAAACAAACAAAAGTTTTCTCTTTTCTTAGATATGGTATTATTATAATTGGTAATCCAAAAGTTCTTTCACGTCAACCATTATGGAATCATTTATTAACATATTATAAAGAACAACATGTACTTGTTGAAGGTCCATTAAATAATCTTAAAGAAAGTGCTATACAATTTTCAAAACCAAAAAAACTTCTTAATCCAACTAATCCTGGTGGTCGATTTATGTCCAATGCTATGTTTTCTGGTTTGTTATGTTTAATTAGTTTAATTAAAAAACAGAAAAGAATTTTGTTCATTTTTTTTTTGTAGCTAAAGAAGCACTTATTCCTGGATCAATCTATGATCGAACAGCTACAATGAATGATAAACGTCAAATGAATGGACCAATGTATGCAAATAATATTAATTCAACTCTTCGTACTCATGATCCATTAAGTTATATTGATACGGGATCAATGACTGGTATGTCACAACCACCAAATGGACTTAATTTACCAATGCCACATCAAATGATGATGGCTTCTATGCCAATGTCATATATGAGTGGACCACCACCATTTAATCCTATGATGAATGGTAATTTTTTGAAATAAAAATTTTCTATATGTACTGAATTTTTTAAATATTTTAACTTAGATCGACAAATGAATAATCAAACAACAATGGCTCGAGGTGGTCGAGGAGGCGCTAGTAGAGTCAAAACTCCATCTAAACCACCAAGATTTTCGAAAAATAATCCAACACAATCACAGGTATTCATCTTAGTGAATTTTATAAAAATTTATAATGATAAAAACAATTTTTTTGTTATAGGATAATTCAAGTTTTACGCAAGGTGGTACTATAAGTCAACCGTATCCAGTATCACAAAGTGGTCTTATGTCTCAACATGCATATGGTTTTTCACAACAAGATTTTTCTCAACCGGTAATTATTTAATCACCCACTATTCGAACAGAGAAAAATCTTTAAGTTTAATAATTCAGTAATAATTATATCTTCAAAATAGAATTCACTTAGCCTTTCTCAAAACTTATTTATCTTTTCATCGATGATCAAAAAAGAAATAGTTCAATGAACCATTTTTACATCGAAAAAAAAAAACTTGACAAAGAAATATAATAATCTATTAAATTACTTTTTTAACATGTCTATCACATATAACTATTTTATTTTTACTTAGGATATGTATGATGTATATCAACCTTCTCAAAATGAACATCATCAATTATTATCTCAAGATTCAACATATGCTGATCCAACAGCTTTTATAAATTCTCAAGTATCAAGTAATACAAGTATTAATCCAAATAATAGAAGTGGTCATTCACATTTTTGATTGCAATAAAACAATCAATAATGATGAAAAGCTTTATTTCAAATATATATGCATTCATCAGTTCAAAAAGATTGAAATTATGTCTATTCACAAAGATGAAATAAGTGGCAAATAATATGAACTTGTAAAAAAAAAAGAACTCATCGTTTAATAGAACAAAACACTCTGTAAAAAGATTACACATGAATTTGTTTGATGGTGTATTAATCATTTATTTTTTTCTTTTTTTTTTTGATTCATTGAGTAAAACAAGAATTTTTGAACTTTTCCATTTATTCTAGATGACTACTACATCTGAAAAACTAGATGAATGTGCTATTTGCTGTGAAGAATCTACAAAATTATATCAATGTTGTTCAAATGAAGCTGATCGATTTTGTGATGTATGTTGGTCAAAAACCATATCATCAATTATTAAGAATGGTAAAATAGGTTTATTATTAACTGGAAAATTAGACTGTGATTTTTGTCATGAATCAATTCAATGTAATCGTCTTCCAGAAGAAATTCAAATTCGTATTAATAATATTCTTTCAACAATACCGAAAATAAAAAATCCAAAATCTATTGAAGAATTTAATTATTCATATAATAATTCTAATGAATTACGTCATTGTTTAACAAATGAAAAATTTATTTTTCTTACACAACGTCATTATAATTTACTTGGCAGTTGTATAGATACATATATTCAATCATTAATGAAATCTGATCAATGGAATTATGAAGAAATATGGTTACCTATAAAAGATGAATCTACAAATGATCATCATGATCAAGTTAATATATTTACTTCGAATGATTTTAAAGAAAATGAAAATGGATGTTTAATATTAATTCAAGGTTCAGGTGTTGTACGTCCAGGACAATGGGCACGTTCATGTTGTATTAATGAATCTCTTGATATAGGAAGTATGTTATTGCTATTATGTTGTTATGAAATTCTAAAAATTGCATAAGAGATAAAAAATATTTTATATTGATACTTTGAATGACGATAAGAATTAAAATAGATAGGAAACTGAAATAAAGATGATTTATAGTAAATTTTATTGATAAACTATTAAGAAAGTATAGAACAATATTTATCAGTTCAATGTAAAAATTATTTGTTTTTGATTATTTTTAAATGACTCTATCCGATATAATAACGAAGAAAGTCTTTCAATAGATTAATTACTTTTTAAGTCGGAACTATATGCATCATGTAGATTCTTATGAACTATAAATATTCTACAAAGACTACATACACTAGACGTATTGCTACAGGCATAACATATTTTTACAATATCTGATAACTCAATGTTGTGGTTCTTCTCAGAAGAATTTACTTCTATCCTGAAATAACAATATCAAATCTACTTGCATATATAAACTATTCTTATTAAGGTCTATCTTTATGCAAATTGTTTCAAGTGGAAGTTCTATTTAAATATGAAATATGATATAGTTACTGTTGCTAATCACATGAAAATTTTGTTATTTGAGACATATTTTTTCATCTTCCTTTTACTGAATCCTCCAGAAATGCAATACTAAAGTTATTATATATATATTGTTTGTGATCGTATATCAACATTGATGGTCACGTCTTTTTGGGGAAGAATAAGTCTACATTTCTACCTCTATACTTCAACGTTCCTTGTAAACTGTGTTTCATAAAATACTGTAAAAATGTAGTATTTCTGCAGCAATATGCTATGATTTAGAACTTGTTTCAGTATATTCACAGCTTATTTGTGTTTATATGATACAGTTAGTTCCAATTCAAAAGTTATTTATTAGTTGGAAGGCTTTTCTTGTAAGATTAAACACAAGTTTATAAATGATGATTTTGCTTCTATGAGACTTTCATATGATCATATTATCTATTGAATACAAATGTTTTAAAGAATAAATTTTTTTCTTTCTCAGGTATGTTTCCTTATATGGCTAAAGCCAAAGAACATAATTTATCTGTAATAATTCTTAATCCAAATCAAACAAGTTATGTTGTTGAAAAAACAATCGATACTGAAGATACAACTTCTATTAACAAGGACGAGATTGGTGTCGGCGAGAATACAAGTTCTACCCATGACAAACAAGATACTGCCGTTATAAATACAACTTCTACTGATAAAGAAGTTAATTCTACTAATGAACAAATTTCTACTGCTAATGAAGATAAAGACAATAAAGAAGAAAATTCTGATCATAACAATATTGTTTCTTTTTATTTATCTTCCGATCCACTTCCACGTCCATTAACACAAAAAATTTCAAATTTATCAACAAGTCGTGAACATGTTCTTTATGTTTATGATCATATTATAGCACAATCTCCAGCAAAAAAATTTTATGTTGTAGCACATTCAGCAGGTGGTGATTGTTTAATGTATTTATTACGTAAACGTCAAGATAATATTTTACCGAAACTTGCTAAAATAGCTTTTACTGATTCAGTTCATTCATTATTACCATTTGATTCAAATGAAATTAAACATTTTTTAAAATTCAATGCTATACATTTTGTTGCTAGTGATGAACCAATGGGAACATCAATTGAATATGTATATGATTTTTCTCAAAGACCAGCTTGTCAAGAAGTATCAGCTGGACATCCAAAACATGAATATACATCAGGACATAGTGTTCAAGGAGTTTTTGATTTTTTCTTTCCTTCAGATAGTATTACTGATGAAAACATAGACAAAATAAAATTATAAATAATTAAAATATTGATTTATATATATATGTATGTGCTTTTTGCTTTTTAGATAAGTAATGTTTGGCAAAAAAGCATCTATACCAGGTAGAAAGAAAGATTTTTTTGTTTTTACACTTTTTTTTTGAAAAAAAATAGTTTTTTTCTTAATTTATCTCTGAAAGAACAAGCAAAAGCTCATAGTCGTGAATTAAGAAAAACTGATCGTGAATTAGTACGTGATCGACATAGACTCGAAACTGAAGAACAACGAATAGTAAATTTTATTTTTCTAATCGAATTTTTATTTAAATTTAACTTTAAATTGTCTTTTTAAGATAAATGAAATTCGAAAAAATGCATCGACTGGAAATAAAAAAGTAAAAGAAAAATTTCTTTTCATTAAAATTTAAAATCTCTTCTTTTCTTTTTTTTCTATGTAGGCAGTCGAAATTTTAGCTAAACAACTTGTTAAAGTTCGAAATCAAAAAGCCCAATCATTTCAAGCATCAGGACAAATTCAAGGTTTAGCTACACAGAATACAATGATGGCATCAAATATACGAATGGCTAATGCAATGCAGGTTAGTTCATTGTAGATATGTGTAGGATAAGTTTTTTCCGTAGTCTATGGTAGAGTTTCATCGGATCGAAGATTGTCGAACTTGATGGGCTCTACCTCGTATTCTGTAGGATAGAATAACCCTATGCATTTTTAGTTCGTTAATTTGTTTGTCTCTTTAAAATACGTTGAATCATGTTTTAGGCAACAGCAAAAACAATGGCTAAAATGAATAAAGTTATGAATCCAGCACAAATGTCAAAAATTACTCAACAATTTACTCAAGAACATACAAAATTGGGTATAAAAGAAGAAATGAGTATGTAGGAAACTTTTTTTATATTTATTTTTCTAATAGATAAGTATTTATTTAGTGGGAGAAACATTAGATGCAGCATTTGGAGAAGAAGGTGATTCAGAAGAAGAAGATGCTATTGTTAATCAAGTACTTGATGAAATTGGTATTTCAATGAATGAAAAAGTTAGTTTGTACTTTTGTTTTTTTTTTATACAAATATATTTATTTAGATTGCTGTTGCACCACGTGTTCCAGCAGCTGCATCTGGTATGGTATCAAATCGGCGACAAGTGCATGATGAAGATGCTGAAATCGAACGAATGTTAGCAAATCTCAAATCATAATTATGGTTTTCTTGTCTTTTTTTTTTTATTCTCAGATAGAGACAATATTTAATTCACTAACTAATTTACTTAGACTCTTTTATATCTTGTCTTCTTCTGTTGTTGTGTTTTCGTTTATGGATTGCTTACACCGGTTAACAGATCGATTGTACATAAAGGTCATTTTCTTTTTTGGAAGTGTTCATATGTTATCCATCTATTTAATAAACTTTCATATATTTATGTATGAATAAATCTTGAAATCTTTTTTGTTTTTGTTGTAATTATTTGAATTTTAAACAAAAACAAAAATTATTTAGTGTACACATACACACACACATAATAAAAATTCATTTTATGTTTATTTTTGTTTTGAGCGACAATCAATAAGACTATCAATTAAATTATGATAACGTTGATCTTTTGCTTTTGCATATGTTTGATTTAAATCTCGTAATTTTTCCACAGCATTTTTTCGTTTATTTGCTTGATGATAATAAGCAAAATTTTCACGAAATTCTGGAGAAAATTTAACAAAATGATCAACAAAATCACAATATGTTTCACGTTTTAATGATTCATTCATTAAACGATTATATTCTTCAAAATCGATTGATTGCATCATTGGTATATTGAAATTTGTACTAATATTTGTGCATGAACTTCTTGTTGTTATTATTGAAGAACTTTTAAGAGTACTTGATGATGTTAAAGGACGACTTTGATTAAAATTATATCTTGATCGTGTTGCAGATTCATCAAGTAATTTTTGTGAAGCATTTAAAACTTTAAATGTACGTTGTTCAACTTTTGTCATTGGTTCTGGACGTGAATTAATTGTTATAAGTGATGGTAATGTACTGATGTGAAGACTTCTTGTTGATCCATGACGTTCTTTACGTTTTTCATATCGATCTTTTTCTTTTTTTAAAGCTTCACGAAAATGTCTATCATATCGATACCAAGTTTCATGTCGTTTACGATTTAATTGTAAAAATGTTTCCATATGACGTTCATGATTTAAACGTAGTTTATTTCGATCACGATCAATAGATAAAAATTGATTTTCTAAAAAATTCTTTTCAATTCTTTTTCTTCGGATTATTGTATCAGATAAATTTGATGTTATTGGTCGTGGAAACATTTTCAAGGAATAGTCAATGGACACATGCACATGGAGATTTTTAATTGAATAAATATATAAATTTGTCTTGATTATATATATTTTGCTGTTTCGAAATAGAAATAATATGAAACCTTAATTTATCTTTATACGAATTTAAAAAATGACAGGTTTCATTTTGCATATATAGAGTAAAAAGAAAAAGCAATGTTGATGAATCACTATTTAGATACTATTTTAATTATATTTTTTTCTTGATTATATTGTTGTTGACAACGACCAAAAAAATTATACTATGGTAGACAAAAAAAAAAAAGAAATTGAGATGTTGTTAAGTAATAAAGAAGAAAAAAGAGTTTCAAGAACATTGTCAAATTTCCTTTGTATAAAGCATGATGAGAATAATAACTAAATGTCCAAATAACTTTAATTAATTAAAATCTAATAATTAAATTTGAACAATAGTTATCTGCAGAATAGATTTTTATATTTACTTTATTCTTGAAAAGCTCGAAACTAATGAAAGTTTTAGTAGATAAGTTGTTTTTTTTTGTACACAACTACATCATTTTTAAATGAAGAATTGATTGATGATGGTGATATTACGCGTGGAATCCAAAGTTTTGAGACAAAATGTTTGTTTATTATCGAGATCCTTGAAAGTATTTATACTGAGTTAATAACTATAGATTAGAAATAGAATTTTGTGCTCGTTCAAAATAAGAGTTTTGAAATTTTTTTTCAGTTTTTCTTTGAGACTCGTAAGGTGCTTTTTGAGAGTCTAAAAATATTCGTTTGAATAGGACGTGTGAGTAGAATTTTCTGATGTTGTTTGCATGTAACTATGTTCAGAAACATGATAAAGTGTTGATATTTTTTTGTTAGAAGATACACCATTGAATATTCTATTCGAATCATAAGACTATATCATTCTGAGATCAGCACTGATTCTTCTTCAATGTATGTTCGTCATCTTCAGTTGAATATTGAAAAAAGACGTTTTTTCACTTGTATTGAAGATGAAGACGAGTAATAACTCTCATGCTTTGCAGACTACACTAGATCTCTGATTGGTTTCAAACATTATAGCCAAAATGAATGAACCAAATTCAACAATTTTCGGTTTTGTCTTATTTTTGGTGATAGGTGATAACAAAACGATGCATATCCTCCGTGTTAACAATCTATTGAAATTTCGGAAACAGTTCTAAATATTTGGTCTTGTAATTCGAGTAGAACCTGACTCAAAATTGATGCGATAATCAGTATTTTTGTTTTTCACCAAATGTTTTCGAGGTCGTGAAACCGGAATCTGAAACCAAAATTTCAGAATTTTGAGTTCGACTTTTTTCGTCAAGGCAAGAAGTTTTTAAGAAAATAGCGATTTTTATAAAGGTTGATCAAAAGTAACCGAGGTCAACAAATCCAAATCTATAATCAGTTTTTTAAAATTTTGAGTTTGACTTTTTTTTCACTAAAAAGAATTTCTTTTAGCAAAAAATATGTTTTCATTAAAAAAAAAAACCTTTTTTCGTACAAAACATATTTTTAAGTGAAATAGCTTTTTTTGTTTGAAAAAGCATTACCGCTAAAAAAAGTGTTTTTTCCCTAGGAAAAAGTTTTTTGGTAATAACATTCAAACTCAAAGCTTAAAGAGAAGTTCTATGAGGCTACCTAACGACTTCATCCAAACTCGGCCGTCGGTAAAATTTTAATTGTCGATTTATGAATTTCGATTGAAAGGTCTAGTCAAAGCATAGCGAAATCCAAAAGATTAGATCTCTCTGACTTGTTTCTGAGACAGTCTATAATATAAATGTTGAAAATTATTGATCTGACAGCAGCGATATACGTTTTATAAATACTTCTTGTTTTTTTTTCTTTTTTATTTATTGAAAATATAATTGTATGTCGATGTTTCGACTCACTTGAGAGGGTAGGTGTGGTTGCTATTCACCAACATTCAGGTGTATATAGATACCCATAGCCGCACTCACCCTAAGCAGATGAAAATTTTACTGAAAATAATGATAACTTAATTGTCATCAAATTATTTGAGAACAAAAACAACTCATCAATGATAAGAGCACAGGAAATCAAGTTCGATGAAGTCTATCATTGATAGCTGTAAAATAGTGGTAACTTTCAAAATGTTAGAATAATTTATATTTGTTCTTCTCTTCTTTCTACATTTAGTAACTGACAGAGAAGTCTATAGCAGAAAAAAAAGCATATTAATCTACTGTGGGTGTTTATGTTATGTCAACGGTGATCCCATCCTTTGATCGTTCACTTATCTTTTTATTCATTACATAGCCCTCATTTGTGCTGAAGGAAACTTTAACAAAGTTATCATCAGGTATAGCAACTTATAATATTGGAAATAATAGAAAAAATTTCGATTCAACCTAGAGCTATCATTTTTACTTTGAAATCATAGAACATTGATAAGAGCTATTAGAAGGGCAAGAAAAAATACACATCGTAAAGATATTAAAATGGTAGCACAACAATTTCATATTTTTGAAACAGTGTAGATTTGCTTCGGATGTTAAAATTTGCTTCTCTGAATATGTTTAACAGTTCTTGGACAACTCAGGTGAACATTTTGAAAACAAAAATGTTTTTTTTTATTATCTTGATCGAATTTCGATCTTCTCGGAAACAGCTTTGTTAAACAGATCAAGAAAATATCATTATAATGTAACCGTCGCCA